TTATTTTAAGTTTGGTGACCATTATTTCAGATTTGGTGACCAAATATTTGCTTAATTCCGCCAATGCGCCGTAATGAGTCTGTTTTAGTTATATGAAATAAACTGGTTATTAGAGATCCAAATCGTTAGTTTAAAATAAACGGGTGCCGGTCAAACAAAAAATCCCGACAATTAAAAATCCGATAGTCAGAATTTTCCAGTAGAAAATCCAAATATGGGTATGTTTAATGAGAAGTAGACTCTTATAATTTAATTAAATTTAGGGTTAGGTCACTTTAGATAAGGGTTATTCCAGGATTAGCTATGGTTTATGATATTTTTTATCAGAATATTTAACTGTCGGATTTTTGGCTGTCGGGATTTTTTTGTCGGGATTATGACCTGTCGGGATTTTGACCCAAACCCAAATAAACTTGTCTATGAATTAATTGTCTATATATAAAATAACATGATCATCTATGAAGCGATATTGTACAGCTTTTTGAAGTCAAATCAAGTGTAGCCCAGTTCAAATTTATTGGTCCGAGTTTATATGCTTTCAAACACGCATTATTCAGTATGTCGCTGATTAGCATTTAGGCGGTACTTATATTGGACACGTATCATTTTATAGAAAATCATTTCACAGACATTTCATTTCATAGATAGGGTTGTTAATGGAGTACTTCAGACATAATAAAACATGGGTTATATGTTTTATTATAGTCTGAAGTACTCCATTAACAACCCTATTCATAGACAATCAATTCATAGATAAGTTCATTTTGAAGAATTTATTTTACAGACAGTTTCATTGCATAGACAATCTTTAACAGTGAATAACTTCTGATCTATTGGTCCTTTTTGGATGATTTAATTATCAAAACGATTGACTTGAAGATTAGAAGGTTTTCACTGTCAAAGATTATTTATAAAATAACTGTTTGTAAATTAATTGTCTTCAAAATGAACTTAACTATGAATTGGTTGTCTATGAAGTAAAATGTGCAATGATTTTCCATAAGTACCCCTTATATTACTAGAGTAATTAGAAATTTGTCATTGTTTTTTGTCTAAATTACGCAGATCAGTATAGTATGGCCGAATTTTGGAATCTATACTATACCGATCCGGTGTTATATATCAATATGGTATAGCTTTTTAATTTCTGCCTATACTATGTATACTGGTCTGCTATAATTTCGTTTTTTGTACCAATTTTGGTTTGGTCACATGATATACAGGAAGAACTATCGCTATTGGTTGATAATAAAAATTTTAGAGTCCCAAATTTGCTGATTTTTTCCTAAAATATACGCAACAATATAGAATTTACGCAACAATATAGCGCAACAATATAGAATGCTTATTCCATTTAACTTTATAATAGCAAATAAGAATGTTCAATTAAATATATATCGTATACGTACAGTATCGGTATTACCGAAAATGGGCAACTCACCAGATTTTTGGAGCCGAAAATTTGACAAAGGTTTTTATGTTTTACTAATAAAATTGGACCGAATATAAGCAACCTCTTCACTTTGGCTTTAAAAAAAAACTCATTTTTTTGCAATATTTTGGTTGCTTATTTTCGGTAATATACCGAGTTAAATAATTTTTATGCATATATATATTTAATAATCATATGTTTTATTAATATTGACAGTCTTTGCGCAAAATTTTGAATCCAATAATTCTTTATACGTTTTTCCTTTATCAATAATAGCAACTTCCAGGTAAATCAAATTCACATTGTGGATGAATAGAAGGTATTTTGACCTATTTGTTATATAAATTTAGAAAGTACCAGTATCAGTATTTATGAAGATTAACACTAAGATGGAGTTAATCATACTATTTGCCTCGAGATCATGCACAATTGTGCACGTACGTAAAGTACTAAGGGTTAATATATATAATGATTACTAGATTTTTTAGATTTAGATATAATCGGTTTAAATCATGCGAATTATAAAAATACACGTTCAGCGTCAAGTAAAAGATTTTTCAGAAGGCAATGACAGTGATGTTGTTATTCCTCTTTTAATCTATTAACAGTATGAGATGAAAATCTCGGATTTATAAATCAATTCTATTCCAGCATTGATCCCTTGTGTTATTGTTGTCATTATGTAATCGAACCTAATTTTGATGTTCTGTGAATCACAGTAATCGTCCCGATTGTTACGGTTATTAACAAACGAGGTTTTGCGCATGTACAGATATGTAAAGAATTTCTACGTACTCGAGAACGTTAATGTAGTATGAAAAGATTCTGAATCATTTACGTAATGTACTACAAGTGTTTACGTTAAACAAGCACCGATTAGGTAATTGCATGACAACACGAAGAATAAAAATTTACTCTACTCGGAAATATGGCTTTGATTCGGAAAAAATGCAAAAGAATAATTATAACGCATTTAACAAATAGAATGTTTCCTTAACAATTGTTAAGAATCTCATGTGCGAATATTATTACCTAATATTTTTTTTTTAGACGTAAGCTATTTATCACATAATGGTCCTTCCTTTAATGTGATTTTTTGTTTTTTTTTTTTTTCACATTCAAAATTTATTATATACTGTATTTTAGTTTCTCTTAAATCATTTTGCTTCTCAAGGTTCAAAATTAAACCATGATTTATTTAATAATATAAACTGGATTGCTTAACATCGATTTATAATATTCTTTTATTATCCGATCTCTTTTACATTCGTTAATATTATATAATGGTACGCTTAATAAACAACTTTGCATTAGTATGTTCGGAAGATCAATCTGCTCTTGACACCCTCACTCTTGGAGATACCAATGTCTCTAATACCTTTTCATTTACATTAACGCTATATCCAACCAATTGTATGTGCGACTTTCGTATCAATGCATATGGATGTCCCGAATCAAATACCATTCTTATTATACATTATGTCTTGTTGGTGGTTACTATCTTAAACATACTAGTTAGTGGTTGTTTTATATATTCGAGGACTTTTAAAAGAAAACAGCCGGTGTGGTTTGCTCCTACACGAAATAGTGGCATTCTTAGACCTAAGCCCCAAGATGCTTTTCATATCATTACGGTTGTTTATGGATCTTGTAAGCATTTTTTTCTAATGTTGTACCATGAAATTTTCTACCGTAAAATTTTTTTTGCAAAATAAATAACATTGTACACGTTTCCATCTGAAATAGTTCAAATTATTCATACTATCTTAATCATAACATCGATGTATCCAAATACTATAACAGCTGAGAGTATGTATTTAACAAAAAAATTTCAAAGTTTTTATTTTGCGTATTTTTTTTTTTATTAACTTGTTTACCGAACAGTTGGACAAGATATTCCGCGGACGATTGGATTTGGATTGGCCGTATTGCTGCCAGTTAGCATTGGTATATATTTCTTCTTATTCAACTCCAAGGATTTAAAATTTATTTCATGATTCTTGGCGTATATCTAAACTTTCGTTTAATACGCATATATATAACTATTATCCCGCAAAAAAGTTTACTTGACTCCGACAATAGGCACTCGCTCAATAAGATGGACTCCTAGCAAATACTTTATCGATAGCATAGGATTCACATTAATATTGGGTCCTCTCATAACAATGCTTCCAATTGCCTACCTAACGGGCTTTTACGCTGATCATGGAGCTCCTCCATTATCATCTTCAGGTTCTTTACTACCTGAAACGAATGATTCAATTCTTACGAGGGAAAATGCGATTTTGTTGGCAAATAAATTTTTTAGAATTCACTATTTAATGTGGTCGGTTTGGGGATTTTTATACGTTATAATTGTTGTTTATTTCTGGTATAAATTATGCTTAATACTGCGAGTGCACATGAAAGAGTTAAAAGAAAGAAAACGATCTGGTGATTATGATGTTGAATGGAAATTAAAGATGATTTCAAGGGCTACCAAGAATGTAGGCTAACTAAAAGAAAAAAAAGTGCATAGATACATATATGGGGGTGAATCAGTAGAAATCAAGCAAATTGTTTTTATCGAATTTTTTTTTAAAAATTTATACATCAATAACTCAACCAAAACATTATCAAATTTAATAAAAAAATTTTTTAAATAAATTCTATAAGTTAGTAGAATTTATTTAAAAATTTTTTTATTAAATTTGTTAAGTTTTTGTTGAGCTATTGTTGTTTAAAGTTTTAAAAAAATTTACTTAGACAAATTTGCTTGATTTCTACTGACTCAATCCATATATTTATTTAGATTGTTATTACATACATATATTTATTATTATTCTCTAATTCAACAGTTGTCCGTAATTGCAGCAACGTTCGTTATAACAAATGGATCGTACACTATATTGGCCTTCACATATGGACTATGGCAACATAATATCACAATATTCATTGCTGAAATTGACATATTCTATTTAATTATTTGGTATTTTCCTTTTCCCATTCTACTTTCCATCGCTCAAGCCGTTTTTATTTATAAGTAAGTTTTTCATAAATTTTAAAAAATTTTATCAACTTGACATTGCTAAACTATCGGTTTAATAATAGCACATATAACCCAACACCAAATGGTCCAACATTTGCTCATATATCAACAACTTCTTCCACCCTTAATAATGGTGACTCGTTATCAAACAATGATAAAAAAATGGAGTTTGGATTAATAATAAAAACTTTAGATGACTGTAAATATCTTTCTACAGTTCGCAATAAACAGTCTTTAGATTCTTTCAATTCAAAATCTACTGTAATATCATCTGATCCAACTTTACAAGGAAGTAAATTTAACGAAGATTGCATAGCTGAATATAAAGTGAATTATAGTGGAGTTGATGCACTGTATAAAGACAATTATGATGAACATGGTGTTTCCTTTACTATTAATAATGTGTCAATGCCAAAAAACCCTGAACCATCATGGCAGATCAGTTTTAAAAGTTTTAAATCAAATTATTCTTATTATAGTAGTTGTAGTAATATTCCTGAATTTCCTGAATTTTCTGAATTTCCTGAATTATAGAAATAGTAAATTTTTATACAAAAAGTCATTGAATCTCTAGATCTCTTTTAGCATAGACACCCCATTAATAAAATGTATTATTAATTAATTATAGAGTTATTTATAGATATATATACTATATAATCTTAAAAACTGGGGGTTTAAATAAATTTTTATATATTAAAAAACATCTAAACTAAAATCTAAAAATTATTTACGCGGGCCTAATTCTTGTTACATTTTAAAGTATATATTACTTAATTCAAAAAATATACTAATACAGTAGAAACTATAAAATTTATTAATAAACTCTTAATATTATTAAATCTTTAAAACTAATAAAAATTAATAATTTATATTCAATTATTATAAAACGCACCTATGGTGGTTTTGCACCTATTATATGTTTTTATTATGTTTTTTAAAATTTTCTAAGTTTTTATAAGTTTTGTATATAAAATTTTTAACACCAATTTTTTCACGTTAAAGTTAATATTAAGGTTAGGATTAGGGTTTGGGAAGGGTTTTTGGGGCGTAGAACATTTTTATTTAGAACACCTCACATCGATTAATTAGCCAGTTTTTGAGATAATACAACATAGGTGGTAAAATACCATAGGTGCGTTTTAGTAAAAGTGTTTATATTAAATAAAAACCTTATATATTATCTTTATTTTATAATTTAAATTATACATGTTTTCAAACCAGATTTTTAAGAGCCTATTGTATTTTTGTTAAAACAAATTAAAAATTTTAAATAATAAGTAAAAAAAGATTTTTATATATGAAAGAATGATAATTTTTTTTAATAAGTAAAACTATTCTTTAAATTTATATTATTGTAATACTATAATTTTTTAAAAATAAGTTTCTTATTTTTGTATATAATGCTAATTACAATTATGTAAATTAAGCCAAAGATGATATAGTATGAATCAGCGATGTTTTTTTAAAGATGCTTATTATATTTTAAAGATATATAACACCCACAGTTACAATTTTTCAAATCTGTTTAGATAACCAAGACCGGATTTATTTTATTTATTTTTTTTTTAAAGAGAGGTCTATCCTCTATCTCTTTTATTTAATAGTTAATTATACATATATTAGGTACATGACGAAAAACTATACTATGGGAGATGGAAGTAAGAGCTACTTTACTCTCGACCTATTCTTTGCTAGAATGGTCGCTAGACCTCTAGTCTTTGATAAGATGACTAAGAGAGGATTGTCATGTGTGATATATTGATATACCTTCTTGTGTATGAATGAAGGAGTTAGTGGTTCGGTTTTGCGTAGTACTGGAGGTTGTAGAGGAGTAGGTGTTGGAAAAATGGAGTCGTGTTGTACTGCTCGGGATGTAAGCCATAGTTTTTTTATATATTGCTATAGCAATGTTGTGGTGAATAAGAGGTGCGTATTTGTATCTATCGCTCTTTTTTCTCGAAAGGTGCTAACGTGTCTTCAGTAATTAGCCCTAAGGGCATTTATTTGTTAACGTGGAGGTTAACGAAGGCCAAGGCCGGATTTATAGCCTAATTTTATCTTAATTTTTAACTCTAACCTCAACAAAAATTATAATAAACTAGGAAAACAGGTGCTGTTAGTGTCCGAAGCTATAATACGTATATAATTTGTTTATATGTTTTAAATGCCGATCGGGCCAATATCACGTGAGCGGAACCAAGACATTTTGTGTATTTACTTCTCCATTGTAAGTCCTCCGCTACGCTTCGGACAATAATTATATGGTGTTTAATACCACTAGTGCGATTTATAATAATTATTAATT